GGTAAAATGTCTTTCTCCCACATCTCTTCCACAGATACCCAGTTCCCCTCTTCATGGAAAGTCAATGCTTTGTATGTGTGCATGTTTGTGCATCCTCTCAGGGACATTTTATGCATATGTAGGTAAATACAGACATATATGTGGATACTTTTACCCCTATTTACCCAAATGGTAGCATAGTATATATGCTGCTCTGTACCTTGCTTTTTTTCATTTAAACTATGTATTTTGGAGATTGCTACATATATATTCCAATCATCTATTGCTTCATGACAAATCACCCCAAAACTCAGTGGCTTAAAATAATAAAAATTTTTAAAGCTAGCTTTCACAGTTTTGGGGCTTGCCTGGACTCAGATAGGCAGTTCTCACCTGAGGTCTCTCATTGCATTTGGTCAGACAGTGTCTGGGGCTGGAGTCATTACAAGGCTTGCTCATTCATATGTCTGGGGGTTGATACTGGCTGTTGGTTAGAACCTTAGCTGGGGTTACTTACAGCTGGAACACTCACAAATGACCTCCTCATGTGTCACTCTACTTCCTCACAGCATGGTTCTAAGAGTGAGGGTCCTAAGAAAGGACCAGGTGGAAGCTGTATTTCTTTGTATGGCCTAGCCTCAGAAATCCTGTAGCATCACTTTTGCCTTAGTTGCAAGCATGCCTGGGTTCAAGGGAAAGGAACAGACTTCACCTCTCGACAGGATGAGTATGGGAGTCACATTGTAAGAAGAACATATTGGATGGAAAATTGTTGCAGCCATTTTGGAAAATACAATCTGCCACAATCTGGGTCTATTTCATATTTTCTTCATAGTTGTATAGCATTTCATTATTTGATATATGATTATTTATTTAACAAGTCTCTTATTGATGGACATTTGGGTCGTTTCCAGAATTCACTATCACAAACAATGCTATGGCAAATAACCTATAGCAAACACATCATTTCATATGTGTCAAGGAATTTATCCTACAAGTAAACCAGAAATGGAATTGATAGATCAAAAAAGTTTTTTAAGTGTACAATTCAGTGGCTTTTAATACATTAACAGTGTTGTGCATCCTACACCACTATCCATTTTAGAACATTTTCATTACCCTGAAAAGAAACGCTACTCCTTTTATCCATCAACCCACAATCCTCCTCTCCCTCCAGCCCTAGGCAACCACTAATTTACTCTCTGTCTCTATAGATTTCTTTATTTGGAGCATTTTATATAAGTGGAGTCCTGTATATGTAGTCTTTTGTGACAGGCTTCTTTCATTTAGCATAATATTTTCAAGTTTCATCCAAATTGTAGCATGTATCAGTACTTTACTTTTTTCATTGCCAAATGTTATTACCTGTATGTCTATACCACATTTTATTTATCCATTCATCAGTTGATGCACATTTGAGTTGTTTCTACTTTTTGGCTATTACGAATAATACTGGTATAAGCATTCATGTACAAGTTAATATGGACATATGTTTTCATTTCTGTTCGGCATATAACTAGGAGTGGAAATGCTGGGTCATAGGGTAACTCTATGTTTAACTATTTTAAAAACTGCCAGGCTATTTCCCAATATTTTTAATATTAACAGCCCTCCAGAGCAATTGTCCCAATTTTCAATCCCACCCACAATATATTGAGGGTTTCTGTTTTCCCAAAGCCTCATCAGTGTTAACAAATTTTCAGACTTTTGACAACCTGGTAGATTAAAGATGTTATCTTGGTGTAGTGCTAATTTAAATTTTTCTTATCATGAGTGATGTTGAGTACCTTTTCTTCTGTTTAAAAGCCACCAGTATTTGTTTTGCTAGGTTTTCTTTGGTTGTTTTTTATTTTCTTATCTATTTGTTGGAGTTCTCTCTATATAAGGGAAATTGGCCTATGAATTGCAAGTATTTTTCCCAATTTGTAATTTGTCCGTTGCTTAC